AACGTAATTAACGTTCCCTTTCTTTTTTTTAGGAAACCTGGACGTGAGACGAAGCTGAACGACCAGGATTCAAAAAAAAGAACGAACTATGGTAAGTTCGTTTCTTTTTTTTGTTTTTTTTCTTTTTACTTGAGGAACGTAATTAACGTTCCCTTCCTTTTTTTAGGACAAGGACCAGATCTGAACCAAATTCGGATCAGATTCAAATCGGATTCAAATGGATCCAAACCAGATTCGGATCAAATTGAACCAGATCTGATCAGATTCGAATCAGATCAGATCTATTAAAATAAAAATCAGATCGGATCAGATTTAAGCTGAATCTGGTCTGAACCGATCTGTTAGGAGCACTATCATGGCATATCAGGTTTATGATATCTGACCGATATGTCATAATAGCTTATGACCCGATATGCCATCATTCGACCAGTGTATGCTAGTTTGGATACTAGTTCTTTATTAAGAATTCACGCCTATTTGGTTGCCTTTTAAAATACTGAAATGGTGTAAAAAAGAAGCGACAGGTGGCGCAGTAGATCTGCGATTAATTTTGGCTGATATTATGCCATAATTCTGGCTGATCTTTAGAGCACATGATTTAAAGATCCAGCTTGGCGACATGATAGTGTCATGGTAGTATCATGGAACTATCGTGGAACTGGTAGGGAACTATCATAGAACTGTCATGAAACTGGCAAGGAGCTAGTGTAGTTCTATTAATTTACCAGTTTCAGACCAGCTTGGATGCCAGCTTGAATGCCGAGTTATTTACGTCAAAAGATCTGGCTGAAATTGTGGAATAGTGCTGGCCAAAATTAAACGAAACTTTACTGCGCCTTGAGTTCCAGGCACTTTCCCGGGACCATGACCGAGTTATTTGACTACTGGGATGTGCCAGCCGATTTTTAGGCACACGATTTGCCTGCGTCCATAAAGGAGAACAAGAGCTAGTGCTTTGATCCGTGACCACTTCCTTCCCGCTTCTTCATAACTATTCGCGGATTGCTCAGGAAGGAATGGATCGGTTTCCATCCGGATCGAAGCACTAACAAGAGCGATATGCATTTCTGTGATCGGTCCTTATGAAATTCTTGGGTATATTTTGGATATGCTCTTGAGTATACATCTAAAAAGGATAAGTCTTACACAGAGGCTATATCATACCCGGGATATATCTAGGAAGATGAAGGCTTCTGCCATTTTTATATAATATAATTCTGCAAAAGCCTTTATATCATATCTGGATGCATATCTAGGAAGGATAAGTCTTACGCGAAGGCTATACCATACCCGAGTACATATCTAGAAAAGTGTAGCCTTCTTCCAATTTTTTATATAATAATTCCGCAGAAGGCTTCACTTTTTAGGGTAATACCCGACCACATATCTAGAAAAATTAGGTCTGAAGAAGTCTTCATATCATAAAATAAGTCTTCTGCCAATATTTTGCACACTTGCCTACCCTAGATATCATATCATACCCGGGTACATATCTAGGAAGGATAAGTCTTCTGCCATTATTTTGCACACTTGCTTACCCTAGATATCATATTATACCTGGGTACATATTCCTAAGCACTTCCGAAGTTACCTCATACCCGGACACATATCTAGGAAGATGAAGCCTTCTGCCATTTTTATATAATATAATTCTGCAGAAGGCTTCATTTTTTCAGATACATCTGAGTGCCTTTCTTTTACGTCTTGCTTAATAAGTTCGCTATCGCCTCTTTTTTCGAAGGACGAAAAAATTAATTAAACATTTCGGAAATATATTGGAGTATATAAAGTTTTACTTACTGATGACATGCATACCTCAACTATTTCTGACCAAACTGTTCGAGGAACTCTCGCCCGCTACGACGGCGCCAGCCCCGGTAAATACTTAAGTGACTCAGATAGCTATAATGATAATGATAATGATTCTGATTGCAGATCAGATGATTATAATAACTACGAGTCTAATTATGAGTCCGATAATGAAGAAGCTTCCTGCACTTCAACCAGCACTACCGAAGCTGTGAAAGAACGAAAGGTTAATGTGACATATACTTTGAGGCAAGAAAATTTTAATGATAAATTTTCCCCTAAGGATTTGCTAAATGCCATTCAGGGAATTCTCTCATCACCACCTAGAGATATGTCGAATGACAAAGGATCATTGGATTGCCTCCCAATCTATTCATTCTTATTTCTGAATGAAAAAGGCTCTAGCTTGTATAATGCCTATGACCGAAGTGAGATGGAAGATAAATTAGTTATCAAAATCGACCAAGATGGTGATCATGTCCCCAAATTTTCTGTTGCCGATAACATTTCTGAAGTATATGGCTTACCTGGGATTCATGAATGTATTAATGGTCAGAAACCTTTAAGAGCCGTGATTAACATAGATGCTTCGCAAAAAGATATGGAAACAACTGGTGTTAAGGCGCAAGAAGTATTCTTTTGAATCTGCCTATCTTTCATAAGAGCCTTGTATCGAATTCTTAATTGTGGCTGGGAGGAATATTCTCAATGGATTAGTAATCGCTACATCATCGGATCTTAGCAAGTGTAGCTATCATATTTTATATGCTCCAGCTCTTCTTATTGATCATTGCGAACTCAAGGCATTTACTGAATTAGTATATACCATAACCGGTGAAAAATTCGGCAAATATATTGATAGAATATTGCCTGGTCAAAATTTTAACCTCCGCCTAATTGGTTCGGCAAAAAAAGGTCGTGTAAAGCGTATTCTTCAATTCTCTCTAGATAATGGCTGGAATGAACTTGATCACGCTAGGGTTCAACCACCTACTAGTTTAGGACTTGAAGTAAGACCTCGTATGCTTAGCACAGAAAAAAATAATAATCCGCTAAGAATATCCGTGGGTTTGAATATATTGCAAAAATTTGCAGAACTAGTTTTACAAAAGCATTCTAGCTATCTTAGGGATTGGATTATCGAAGAAAAGGACTTAGAAAACTTCGTATATTTTAACCGAAAAGCTCCACTAGGATGTCCACTCTGCAAACGTATACATGACAAGGATCAGCGGTGATTCAGCCGTGTATGCGTTAGTAGTGGAAGGTTCATCGTAAAATGCTTTCGGCAAAATAGTGATGAGCGAGGGGTAGTTTTTGAATGTGACCCATTTATTGCAGAAAAAATTCAGCAAGAAAATAAAAAATCTCTGCAATCCTCTCACAAAGTCAAAGTTCTGGGCTTCCCTAAAGCCTTCGTAAATTTCCCATCTTGGGCTAAGTATAATGAGTCCCTTTCAGCAACAGAAACATATGAGGAGAGATATGTAAGACCATTACCGAATGAAGGCGATATCTATGTAGGTTCGCCTTGGGAGACAGGAAAAACATATGTTTTAGAGCATCTTACTATATCTGACGACGTGAATTTGCTAGTATTATCTACGCGCCACTCTTACTCGAATGCTGTTACTACCAGACTTAATCTTAAGTCATATTGCGATATCGATGGTAATATAAATCTACCCGATCACAAAAGGGTAGTATGTCAGATAGAGAGCTTACACCGTATTACTAATAAATGCAAATGCAGTAAAAAATGCAAATGCCCTCCGAGCCAATATGATTTATGGCTTGATGAAATAGTATCAATAATTGCTCAAGCATAAAGTCGTTTGGCGGGACAATCAATAGAAAAATTGTATAAATTAATCCAAAAGGCTAGGCGCATTATTGTTATGGATAATGACCTAACGGACCTCAACATTGAATGGATTAAGGCCCTTCGTAAGAATATACCTTTTTCTATTATTCATAATACTTACCAGCCTCAGAAAGGTAAGACATTCCGCTTGGCTCCTAATAAAGAAACTGTGTTAGCTGAACTTTGGGATTGGGCTAGGCAAATATCTTCACTACCTTTTGAGAATCGGAAAAGTGCTTCACTTATCTGCCATCTTAGAAAAGATGTACAAGGGATTGTTTGTACCCTTAAGACCGATTTTCCAGAATTGCGAATCAAGGAATATCATGGTAAATCTGATCCAGTAGAAAAGGCTCAAGATTTTAGCAATGTAGAAGAATCATGGATCGATGTAGACCTTGTTGCATATACTAGCACTCTAAAAATAGGGGTATCTTGCATTAATCCTAAGTTTGAACGGGCATTCTGTCTCTTTAATAGCTACATAGAAACAAACGCCAGAACGAATCAGATGCTATTCCGCATGCGATGTATTAAGGATTATGTATGTCATATCGAGCAAAGATCGTCTAATATTCCCATTACAGAGAAAGGGTTATTCCAATGGTTGGTGAATGCCAAACGAGAATGTCTTTCCCGAGAATTTCAGAATAGAGGAATATTTCCTGATATAGACTCTATCATCCGGAATAAGGATGTACCAACTATTCGATTATGGGTAGCATATATGTTAGAAAAATTTCGTTCCTGGTGCTTATTTGGTTGGAGAATGGTTGATTTTCTTAGAGAGGCAGGTATGATAATTTTCATCATAGAATCTGACCCTAAATCTAATGAAAATTCATTGTCGCAGATAGTAAAAGCAAAATGTTCTGTTGTTAAAACGGAGGAGATATCAGATATAACTAATGCTAATATTCTTGATCGTGAAACTGCTGAATTTCTAGAGAATAAGCCAAGAAAGACTTTAGGAGAAATGCGTTCTTTAGACTGGCACCATATTGTGGATTGTTATGGAATTCCGCCTGAATCGTTGACCGAGGATTTCATCTCGAAATATGGGAATTTCAATCATATGAAATGGTTTAGAGCTTATAGGCAATTACGAGATGCTGGCACTGGTAATGAAACGGCTGTTGAGGCTATCACTCGCAAAGATTACAGAGAAGATAGGCTTACAACTATAACCTGGGCTGAGAAGCATCGGATTTGCTTAGAATTGTTAAAAACTTGTATACCAGCTAAAGATATCGATGATAGATCAAGATATAAAGCTGATGATGTTAAAACATGCCTGAATTCTCCTGGGTCAGTATCGTATCTCCAGAATTTAGTACCAAAAATGGCTCGGGTTTTTGATAATTCAGATACATCGCGCAGAGCTAAAAAATCGGGATTAAAAATGAAACAGGCAAAACTTGGTTTACTGAACTCAGCACTACATGTAACTTATGGGTTGAAATTTAAGGCTATAGATAAGAATCGTAGACATTATCACCTAGTAGGTTCATTTGATAGTAAAGACGCTCCTAGATTTCCTTTATATCAAACGGGTGAAGAAATTTATTGGGAAAATGGGGAAGATACTCGATATGGATATAGTAAACTCCCGCCCGATGAATTAATAGATAATTTTACTAGTTCTAGCAAAGTGGATAATGCGCAAATTACAGAAGATATTCAGGACTTATTTGATATTTGCTAATACTATTCGATTATGAATCAGGTAGGTGAAGCCTTCTGCCATTTTTATATAATATAATTCTGCAGAAGGCTTCATCTATCGGCATACATTAATAAAAAATGCCTCTACTCTTGCGCCACTCCAATAATAATCAACCAATGAATGGAATAATATATTTTTTCTCACTCCTCAGTAGATAATTCAGAGACCTTTCCGGATTGAAGAGTCCCAACCCCATACTTCTGCCTCATCCAATAATTTAGCGAATAAAATCTAGCCGAATGTTTGGGACAGCATTCTGTAATGGAAATGGTAGGTATGCCACAAACAAGGCAAGGTCTTTTTTCCATATTTTTTTCATGTAATATCCAGTGCTTCGTACAGTCAGTAGTACGAGTACAGATTCTCCCACAAATGGAACCATCTCTCTTAATATACGGGCAAGTAACTCGATTCATGTACAGTAAGTATTTTAGGATATAAAAGCCTTTTCACTTTTAATTTTATAATAAAATGTATATTTAAATTATTCGGTATTAAGATAAGTCATAAACGACTTTTCATACTAACGCTATGGACATATCAGGCCAATTAGCAAATAGAGTTCACGAAAAATATATAACCCCAAATCTAATTGTATGATAATTATAAATGGGCCAGTATATTGTAAATTATTATCTGATGGTTATATAGGACCCCGGAAAATACTTATATAGGTAAGGTCCCAAAAATATTTTTTATTAGTAGCTCTAAGCACAGGTTTTTACTATGATCTCTAAGCATTGTTGATATCTAACCTTAAAAATTATATAAAAATAAGCAAATCAATCTTCTAACCTAATTAAATTTTTATTATAACACATATAATTTATAAAATATATTTATTAATTAATATATTTTATTAAATCCAATTTTAAATATGTTGTGAAGCTATAAAACTAAACATAATATACAAGTAGATTAATAATATTCAATTAATAAAGTTAATAAACAGTAAGAGAAAAATTCGAAATTAATACTATTACAAAAAATGTAAATTTCTCCATAAGTATTATAC